TCACCCTTCAGCCACTGCCTCCTCTCCGTGGAGCTTCCAAGGCACTCTCCTTCCTGGATGGGGGGTGCTGACATGTGGGGAAGGGCGTGTTAGACCCAAGGAACTCTCCACACACCAGGTCTCCCCCCAAGCGAGGTGGCTCAGGCTTGGCCTCTCACTCAGGCCTGCCATTGGGAACTGCAGGACGCAGCAAATGGTGCTTCCAAAGTTTTTTTTTTTAGGTGAAGCTTCACTCTTCTCGCCCAGGCTGGAGTACGGTGGCGCGATCTCAGTTCACTACAACCTCCACCTCCCAGGTTCAAGCAATTCTCCCGCCTCAGCCTCCCAAGTAGCTGGGTTTACAGGCGTCCACCACCATACCTGGCTGCTTTTTGTATTTTTAGTAGAGACGGGGTTTCACCACGTTGGCCAGACTTGTCTTGGACTCCTGACCTCAGGTGATCCTCCTGCCTCGGCCTCCCAAAGTGCTGGGATTACAGGCGTGAGCCACTGCGCCCGGCCGAGGGCACTTCCAGCGAGCAAGAGTCAGCCCCGAATTGAGAGCTGGAAGGGGCTCCGTTCAGTTCTCTGTGAGGGCCCCCACCCTCCTCACAGAGAGCTGGCAGCTCACAGGTGACCACACAGGATCACAGACGCTAACCAGGTGAGGATGCCGTAGGCATGGGGCCTGAACGCTGAAGGGAGGATGAGCTCAAGCTCCCAGCTGCACCTCAACACTGCGATTGTGGAATGGAAGCATCAACAAAGGGCCGGGCACCGTGGCTCACACCTGGAACCCCAGCGCTTTGGAGGCCAAGGCAGACGGACAACGAGGTCAGGAGACTGAGACCCTCCTGGCCAACACGGTGAAACCCTGCTGCTACTAAGTGCAAAAATTAGCTCAGCATGGTGGCGCACACCTACAGTCCCAGCTACTTGGGGGGCTGAGGCTGGGGAATTGCTTGGACCCAGGAGACGGAGGTTGCAGTGAGCTGGGGTGACGTAACTACACTCCAGCCTGGCGACAAGGTGAGACTCCATTTCACAAAAAAAAGGAGGGACGAAGGGCAAAACCACATCATCATACCACACCCGATCCCACAAAAACAAAACTCCACCAGCCACACCACCTCACCCCACAGCAACCACACACCAGACACACCGCCCCACCCCACAGCAACCACAGCACACAATCCACAACACCCCACCCCACAGCAACCACAGCACACCATCCACACCGCCCCACCCCACAGCAACCACAGCACACCAG